AAATGTACCAATTATATATGTTCCCGAAATAAAAGGTAAAGTTGTTAAAGTTCTCATCTAGGATAAGATGCTGGATTCTGCATGTAATGTAAAGTGTGCTTTGTGTCTAGTGTACATAATATTTTCTGTATGGTGTGAAATTTCTATTTCTTGTTTCTACAGTTTCTATCTTCTGTACTAGCTCTATACCTGTGCATCACTATGAAACTATGTGATCAAGCTTAGTTTTGGGGGAGGAAAATAAGGGGGGAGGAAATGTGCCTCTGCCTACCAGCATCCATCAGTATTCATCTGGCTAGCATCCTGTCAGTGTGTGAGAGACTTGAGGGCTGTTTGGAAACTGAAGCAGTATATTTGCTGTGTGAGCAAGAAGGAGACAGCAAGGAGCCTGGGCATGGCTTGGCTCAACTGCTCTGTACTAAAGCTGGTTGCTGCTGTGAAACTAAAACTGAAACTCCTCTCCTCTGCTTGTGTTTTGCATTTGGAACAGATTTCTTTACAGGTGGGGAGGGAATCATGTTCTCACATTTTACATTTTCAATATATGTGTCATTTTTTATTCAGATTGAATATTCAAGGCAGTGTGAGTCTCCAAAATGATAAAATGTAAAATATCTTTTGCAGGCTTTCAGCACCTGTTTGCATCCTTGAACCTCTCTGGAATATGCTGAATATTTTTTTTTTTACCTTATTTTGACATTTAGGGAATGTATAGGACTTTTAAGTAGCAAAATGATGCCTTGGGGCAGTGTTTTTTAAACTTGGTAACTTTTAAGATGTGTGATGTTCAACTCATGCTGGCTGGGGAATTCTGGGAGTTGGTTGAAGTCCACACATTAAAGTTGTTAAGTTTGAAAAACAGTACCTTAAGCCTTGCAAATGCTTCATATCCATTTTCTTTCTTAAAATCTCTCCCTTTTCCCACCAAAGTGCAAAAAAACTGGGCCAAAAGCTGTGCCCGTCCCCACTTTGGTGACATCATCGCATATAAATAATTATCTCCCAGGCAGAAAAAAATTGGGAGCATCCTTAAGTGAGCTTCAGCTGGCATCAGTTTTCATGTAGATTCATATTGAAATAAATGATTCTTTACACTGGTGATTCTTTATAAGGCCTTAAATATTAAAATCAACTCCTTGATTGTTGCTGTGAAAACAATTTGTCACCAGTGCAACCTTTCACATGGTGATTTACCATGTGATGTGAATGTTCTACAACAGGGGTGTCCAACCTTGGCAACTTTAAGACTTGTGGACTTCAACTCCCAGAGTTGAAGTCCACAAGTCTTAAAGTTGCCAAGGTTGGACACCCCTGTTCTACACTGATTAGCTGCTTAATGGACATCTGGAAATCCCTTTATTCTCAATTCCACTATCTTATGAAGCTACTCAGAATTTCAGTAAGAGATGTAACTCATAGTTATGATGATTTGCTATTAAGCAATATTTTAATGTTTTTCACTATTGCTTTGATTAAAGTTACTATAGTACTGGATCTCATAGCAATTCTCTCAGACTAAAAATGTTCCATAGATCACTCTTGATAGTAATGCACATCATGGTTTTGCAGTTAAACAAGGAGTTTAAAAATATTTAAACCCGGGATTCCCAATCTTTTGCTCAAGGTTCCATTCTTCTTCTGAGGTCGGTAAAATAAGGACCCAAATTGTTAGGGGCAATATGCTGACTCTGTAAAGAGAGCTGTAAAGAGAGGACTGTAAAGCACTGTGAAGCAGTATAATAAGTCTAAGTACTATTGCTGTTAACATTTTGTGAGTACATCAAACAAAATGGTTGCTGTTAAGAAGCGAGACTTATCCATTCATGCAGTGACAAATGTTAGTTATAAATCATTAAGTTATCAAACTCAAAGTCAGAAAATTGCTCCCTGACACTTTCTGGCTCTTAATACACGCCCTATTAACTCATTCATGTCAGAGGTGGTATTCAGCAAGTTCTGACCAGTTCTGGAGAACCGGTAACAGAAATTTTGAGTAGTTCAGAGAATCGGCAAATACAACCTCTGACTGGAGATTTTACAGTATCCTTCTGCTGCCATGCCCACCAAGCCATGCCCACAGAACCAGTAGTAAAAAAAATTGAATCCCACCACTGATTCATGTATATATATTCTGAATAAGATGGCTGTAAGCAAAAAAATAAATAAATATGTAAGCAAAAACTGGGATGCAGCCATTTGTATTTTCTAACATGATCTTGGAAGTGAATCCCAAAAATGATGCTTTGTGAAGCCACATGCCAGCTTCCATTATAATATTGTCCAAATCTATCTTGAAGGATATGAAAAAAAAAGTAGGGGAAGAGAGACTGAGAATACTTCTACGTATTTCAGGAAACAACCCCACATAGGTTGGAAAAGCAGTGAATGTTATGGCTCCACAATCAAAATGCTCAGTGTGCTGTGTTAGATAAATTTGAGCCAATATGTCTTGCTGAAATACATAGCATGAGATGAGAATGTACAGTTATTCATTTTTGGCTTTCTCTCAGTTGCAGATAAGGTGGGATGAGCAAAAAGTAGCTTATTATCTATTGCTGGACAGCCAGACTCCACCTAATATACGTTAATTGCTAGATACGAGGATTTTTGTGGACAGCTCTTCATATGTGAATATTGTTATGAGATTGCTAGTACATAGTGCTGTTTACTGACTTAATATACATGTTAAGCCAGGAATTTTTTTTCTAGTGTTCTGTTTTTTAAAGATGAAACAAAGTTCTTGTAAAGCTTTCTTATTCGAGCTTCTGAGCCTTCCATGACAGGATGATCCACTAAAGCAATCTGAAGGAACTATGTACACACAGTGCAGCTACACATTTACTGTAAGCTTTCTTTAAAAGCATGTTAAGGGATGTGGGGAGGGGGGAGTGGAAAAATTGAGATAGAGGAAGAGCAAGCATAAACTACATAAGAGTGAATTCAAATTATTTGGGGGTTGGAGGTTTATTGAAGTGCATTGTGGCCTTAACAATCTAGAGCAGGGGTCCCCAACCACTGGGCCGCGGACCGGTACCGGGCCGCGGAACAACTCCTACCGGGCCACGCCTTGCTGGGCGCCGCCATCTTTTTTTGATGAAAAAGTGCTTCCGGTGAGCTTTTCCGGGTAGAAAGCTCACCGGAAGCACGTTTTCATCAAAAAAAGATGGCACCAGCGCTTCCGGTGAGCTTTTCCGGGTAGAAAGCCATTTCTACCCGGAAAAGCTCACCGGAAGCGCTGGCGCCGCCATCTTTTTTTGATGAGGTCACCGGAAGCACTTTTTCTTCAAAAAAAGATGGTGGCGCCAAGAAGCCAGCGGCCCGGTAGGACTTGTTCCGTGGACCGGTACCGGTCCGCGGACCGGTGGTTGGGGACCCCTGCCTTACATGTTGAATGGAAGATGTTTTGTTTTCCTCATTACTTTATCAACAGAGTATTAGTATCAACATTTGATGAATGACATTTCATTTTTTCATTGAGCAGCTGTAAGCAGCTCTAGGTTTTCATCTGTTGTAAAATAATGCCAGAGAAAAATAAGATGATCTAAACCTGCAAATGAATGATTGTTTGGATTCTGGTGTTATGATCATTCTTTGGACTAGGCGTGTGCACACACACAAATACACACACTTACCTACAAACTTTCTACTCATAGAACTGTTTGTCAGTCCACATTGAAACTTTGCCAGTCCATGCCTTGAAATATTTCTCCCACAATATTTAATTGAGCTCTTCAATTATTGTGTTTTCCAATTTTTTCTCTCTCTTTGTCCTTTACAACCGACAACCAATAAAAACTGGTGTTAAGTATGTTCTCCTCCTTCCTAGGTTTCTTAATACTAAGTAATAGTGTTTGGATTAGTATTCTTGTGTCCTACCCTTCCATTGTAAACTGAGTGGAATAAGTTATGCAGTTTGCATAATGAACAATAATAGGAAGAAGTAACATCCATAAGATTAAATTTGACTCTGCTATAGGACTTCACAGTTCAGTTTGTTCTAAATTAAATAAAAAAATTGTTGTCATCTATGTGGTTTTTTTTCTAGCATACATTGGGAATGGCTCTTGTTTTGATTTTATAACACAATGGGATGAGTTTTGCTGGAATATTCAATGAATCAGAAAAAAAAGACTGCTGTTTTAGATATTGATTTGTTGCAGTAGTTAGAAAGTATTTTCTGCCCTTGGACAGAATTAAATTATATTCGCATGCATTTTTTTTCTTCCATTCAATCATGTCTGAGTCTCAGAGACTGTTTTACAAGATCTTGAACTCTACAGATTGTTTCAAACAGACAATTGATATAGCTTACAATATTCTGAGTTGCTAATATGCAGTAAAGTTTTATAAAAATAGAATAGAATTGTTAAAATTATTGTTATACTCTCCAGTTTGTGCAGGCATATTGGAAAGGAATTTAACTCCTTGTTCTAAAACTGATTCTTTTTCTCTCTAGTTATCAGCCAATTGTGGATTATATTGATGCACAATTTGAGGCCTACCTCCAGGAAGAGCTGAAAATTAAGCGTTCCTTATATAATTATCATGATACTCGCATCCATGTGTGCCTGTATTTCATTTCACCCACAGGGCATTCCCTTAAAACTCTTGATTTATTAACAATGAAAAATCTTGACAGTAAGGTAAGATTTTAAAATCAGTTTGGGGGGAGGGGAATCAAAATATCTGATCTTTTAAAATAATGTACAGGTAGTCCTTGATTTACAGTTATAGTTGGGACCAGAACTCCCATTGTTAGTTAAGTGAATCATGCCCAATTTTACAACCTTTTTTGTCATGGCTGTTAAGTATATCTCCATGTTCATTAAATGAATTTGGCTTCCTTCATTGATTTTGATTGTTGGAAGCCCCTTGGGATGGTTGTAAATGGTGATCAAGTGACCTCAGGATGCTGCAACCATGATAAATACCAAGCACCTGAATTTTGATACGTGACCATGACACCACATAGAATCAGTGGTAACTTTGAACAGTAGTAAAACAACTGATGGTAAGTTGAGGACTATTGTAATAGTGTAAGGTATGAACAACTAGAGTCACACAAGTGTTCAATTAGCTGTTTTATTGCTCAAGTCCATGTACAAGAATCTTCTCAGACTAAGAATTTGTACCTGAGTAAAATTAATGTTCAGTGGCACAGTGGTCAGATTTCTCCATCATGTGCCCACAAAGGGATTCCAGTCTAATTCCCCATTTAACTCCTCCGCCTGGATTAGCCAGTCTCTCTCCAACATAGATATTCAAAGTAATATTTTAAAATGTAATATGTTTTTATTGTTGTAGCATCAAAGGAGATTTTAGTAAAAATAAATGTTATCTCAGTTTGATGAATTGGTCAGTGTAACTGAGTAAGAGCATTCAATTATTTGGGGAAAACTCAAGAATAAAATTATTTTGTTATGGAGTAAGAAAAGGATGATACAAGGTATTGGTGTTTGTGGCAAAATCTAGTCAAAAGTCTGTATGTTCTCAGTGGTGTAAGTTAACTTGCTAAATAAATTTGCAACCTAAGATTGCTATTAGGAAATATAGGGTGATATTTTCTCCTGTTTGGGAAAATAATTTTAAAAATATCAATTTATTTTTGTGGATTTATTTGGTCTGTAGTATCCATTAGAACACATAAGTTAATTAATACTAATGTCATGGCAGCTAGTCAACATCAATTTCTGTTTAGATATTGATATATTTGTGTAGGGATATTCTCTGTTTGCACTAAAACACATCTAAACTTCAAGCAAAAAAATAAAAATTAACTATGTTTTGACTTAAGGTAAGAGTTGCTTCTAAAAGTAACAATGTGCAGACCTGGATGGGTTTCGATATACTGCAAAGTTGAATTGTAGTGAAAAACAAAAGCAAGCTTTAATCAGGCTGGGCAGAGAGGGGAAAATGTATAAAAAATAAACGGGAAGCATTGCTATCAAGTAGCTACATTATCATAATTAGGGGCATGTGCTGAAATTATATTCTAATTAATTGTCTATAATTGTAATTAGGACTCTTCTAAAGTAATGATAATGATCGAAGGAAGATATGATCATGGTCTATATAAATCTGGAAGTTAGTCATGTTTAAGAGGGAGTGGGTCTATTTTGTTTTGAAAGTGAGGCTAAGATTGAAATTGAAAGAAAAGACATTCAAGCTGAATATTAAAAGGAATTTTTTAACAGTAAAAAAAAATGGTCTGCCTAATACAGTAGTAAATTCTCCGCTTTAAGTTGGATCTCAACAGCTATCAAGGATGGGTTGGAGTAGATGACCATGAAGTCCCTTCCAATTAGAGCCTAGTTTCCTATGAAATGAATACTCGCCTGTATTCAAGTCTATATTGATTTGATATAGATCTAAATATTACTTTGGACTAGGCTTTCTATGTGCTTTCAGCAGCGAAATAATTTTTGTGCTGCCATTCTATTAAGTAAAATGTTCCATGCTATTTAAAGCAATTGCTCATTATCATTTTAAGGCTAACTATCATTAATAGAAGTACACCTCAGAGAGAATGAAAAAAAAGGAGTTATATAGATATTTAAACCCTAATTTGTACTGCTTCAGTAATTTTTTATGGTTGCTGTTTATTATCATAAGTAGCTGAACTGAATAAGCAGGTTAACTAAAACTCTAGGGTAGTCATCTGAACACAGTGAACTCCTTATTAAATAACTGCTACTCATCACGTTAATCTGTCTGGATTCATCTCTTGTCTGTTGAATATGGACTAAGGCTAATGAAGATGTCACGAGAATAGATAGCTAGACACCATATCTGAAAGACAGTTGTGAATGAGTTGATAGAGAAATTATGTATTTGACATAGGTCTCTTCACCTTTCAAACATACTTTTTAAAATTATTATTTTTATCAGTGTAATGCAAAAATAATTTAATTTTAAGGCATTTGTTTATGTTTTGAAGATATTGTTCAAGTTTGAAACCAAAAACTGTTTAGGAATCTGATTTTCTGCTAGTCTAAATTGGCTGTAGAATGCTCATTGTTAATGATCTATGGAGTGATAAAATGGGGTAGAATGGGATCTGGATTTAGCACTTTTAGGCTTGGATTATTTCCTCCATCTACCTTCTCATTTCTAGGTGTTTTTTTAAATATTTCCATCCATTCCTTGCACTGATGTAGTTCTCCTTGCAATTCTTACCAAACATAATGAAATTAAAGAAACTCTTATAGCAGAGACAAGTTATCATAAAAGACTGTTAATTAGCTGGAAAGTCAGGTTTTAAAAAGACGAGGACAGATCTGATTTTTAACTTGTAGCTGAGTCTGGAGAAAACATCTACAAGCCTTGATACAGTAACTACAAAAGGATCATTTTACCACAAAGCAGCAATACTCATTTCTTTAACAAAATGGCAAGAAGACATGAAAGCCACCTTTCTGCATTTATCATACACGTATCAAAGTGGGATTGCCAGTATTCCTTCAGATGCTCTAAAATATTGTCTGTTCACAGATATTCAAGCTTGCTTAGCATTTAATTGAAGAAATCAAAAGAAACTTAAGAAATCTAATGCAGATTGTTGGGGCACACGTAAATACTTTTTTAAAAAAACGTGTTTCATATGAAATCAGTCCCAAAATAATGTTATCTTTCTCTTTGAATATGTAGGAAATACAAATTCATTCTGATAACAGTAATTTTTTCTTTCTTTAAAGGAAAAGTTCTTAATTATTTCTAATGAAACTGATACTTCATATTTATTAAAGAACCTTTATCTACTCATATTAAAATATTCTGCAATATACCTGATCAGTTTAATGGTGAATCAAAGGCTAAATGGACTATACAGATGGGTGAAAATTGTTCAGGTTATTATAGCTTTACCTCGTATCTCTAAAAAGACAGTATATTGTGCAGTATAAAAACAATTTACCTGTTCAGTGATAGTAACTGGTATCTCAAAAGTTCAAATAATGTTCCAGGATTTTGATATCTTTGCATATTTCATAGCAATCTGATTTCTTTAATAGGTGAACATTATTCCAGTTATAGCCAAAGCAGACACAATTTCCAAATCTGAACTGCAGAAATTTAAGATCAAAATCATGAGTGAGCTGGTCAGTAACGGAGTTCAAATATACCAGTTTCCAACAGATGATGAAAGCATTGCTAAAATTAATGCTACCATGAATGTAAGTATATTTCCAAAGATACTGTATTTAAACTAGACACTCATTGTCTGCAATTAACTGGTTTCTTTTTTTTAATGAAGGATAGCATTTTAATGGGAACTGCTGCTGCCGTGTTTCTTCCAGAATTCTGGATTTTCATTTCTGGACTGTTCATCAATTACATTTTACATTTTAGCAGAAAGCATTCCATCATAAGTGTGTTTTTCTTTGTAGAACACAATCTTCATATGTGAAATCTGAATTGAATTTGCATTAGTGGCACTTAGAGTATGTATTTAAAATTTTGCTAGAAGCCATCTTTACATTCCAGATTTCAGTTCCTTTGAGTGCTGATGCTAAAGAGAGTTTTTGAGTGGCTACCTTAACCATGAGGCTGAAATTAGTATGGATATTTTCTTCTTTATGTTGTATTGCAGGTGTTTAATTTTTTTGTTCTAAACCACCATGCCTCTGTCTAGTGGCTAAGGCACCAGACTAGATATCAGGAGACTGTAAGTTATAGTCCTGCTTTAGGGATGAAAGCCAACAACCAGTGACTTTGGGAAGTCAGTCTATCTCAGCTTATGATGGCAGGCTCTGGCATTATCTGACAAGCCAATCGCTCAATTCCTGTTGCAACCAATGGATCAACAAAGAGATCCTGCACTTGCAGTATGGCTGGACGGATGGATGTGAATGGATGGATAGATAGTTAGATAGAATGAGAAAAAGAGAGATTTGTTGTTAAACACTTTAGGGCTAGGTCTTTTCAATCTTTCTGCTGAGGATAGCTCCTTTTTATTTTTATAAATATCTAAAATCTGTTCTATGAAAGTGTGAGAAATTAAGTGTATATTTTACTGATGTAATAAATTTATTAAATATTAATTTATGTCTTCTGATGTCTGCATTCCCTATTGGATGTGTCATATTCTAGTATGAGGCCTTAATGCAATACAAAACCTAATATAGCACTTAACCCCTGCCCTTCCTTCCGCCAAAGTTGTCTCCTTTTACAATAGTGACAGTGTGAAAGTTCTACCACCTTACATCAAAAATTATTTGACAAGGGACTGTCATCTATATGGGAGGCAGTTCCTTTTTGAGAAAAAAATTACCAGTTTTAGAAGCACAATGACTCTTGACCAGTTCAAAATCTGGGCAAAGATTTGGCAGAATAGCTTCATTTTTGAAAGGGTGATGCTAACATAGGAAGTCTACCCTATTACAGCTATACTTTTTCCAGGCAACTGGTTTTCAGACATATTCTTCTCAGTTATCAGAAGTCAGTTGACATCCTGGAACAGTTATATTAGTGTTTCTGGAGTTGCTGCTTGAATAACCCAGATCGTTCCACTAGTGTCTCGACAGTTCATAATTTTTCAACTCATTGGTTGACAGCTTCAGTTATTTATATCTGCTAAAGTTGAAATGAGATTTGTGAAAAAAATGTCCTGTCCAAGTTTCAGCCTGAGAAGGTGAGAAACTGGTTTCTCAGTATATTTAGATCCCTAGAAATAGCCTAAACAGAACTATTGCCCTCTAGGAATAGGAATTTTAGGATCTTCCCTTTTCGACTGGAGATTTTAATAAATCTAAATAATTTATAAAATTAGATCCTTGCTTCGGCAGCCAGAGGATCAGATGTACAGCTGAGGATCAGCCTATGTGTTCCCTAAAAATTTCCCAAGTTCATAAACCAGGTTTCATGTCCCACTCTTCTGAAAGCTAAAAGAGTTCCCAGGTAAATTTAGCCCCTCCCCTGCCCCTGACCTGAGGTTGCGGCTGATGTCAAACTTGAAACTCAAATGGCCAAGTTTCCAGGAGGGAACCGCTCCCATTCAGGTTTTGGTTACTGCATGCAATAGCAGCCATTATAAAATATGCGTACAAATTAGTTAACATGCCAAGGTTTTGTTTTATTCTCGTTTCATCTGTGCCATTTACTGTATTATCTGTTTCTCAGGGACACTTGCCATTTGCTGTAGTGGGGAGTACAGAAGAGCTAAAGATTGGTAACAAAGTTGTAAAGGCTCGTCAGTATCCTTGGGGCATTGTGCAAGGTAAACAAGAGTTTAGACTCTTCTTCACCCAGAATTAAATTTTTGGTTAAAGGTCTGCTTCCACTATTTTTTTTTAATAGATTCCAGAATAGAGTCAACATTTTTTCATATTCATATACAATACTATAAGCCAACTTGTAAATAAAATCCTGGCCATAATTCTAAGCATACCATTTCGAGAATGATAAGTAGTTATTTTGTAAGTAGATGTGTGAATTGTAGAATTGCCATTTGCTTTATTTATTTATTTTTAAAAATCTTAAGATATCAAAGCTCACTTATCCCAGTTTTCCAAAACTGGTTTCATACATGTTGACATTTTTTATTATCTTTAATTATTTATTTCTTCAGAAGATTATATATAGTTCATTTTATGCTTCTTCACATTTTATCCTCTTATATAGCAAGATAGATAAAGGGAATGAAGGTTGAACATCACATAGTGACTGAGTGGGAAATCTAAACCTGGATCTAATACAAACGATCAGGTTTTAGAAGTACCAAGATGAACTCTATGGATAACAACTTCTGCCTCACTGATATGTCTTTTCAATCTACAACACATTAATTTACGAGTTAGTAAATTACTTTTGGTAGTTAGACCTTTTTAAAAATCACCATGAAAGAATGCTACTTATTTAGAGCTGTGGTGGCTCAGTGGTTAGAATGCAATATTGCAGGCTAATTTTGCTGACTGCCAATTACCAGCAGTTTGATTCTTACCGGCTGAAGGTTGATTCAGCTTTCCATCCTTCCGAGGTCAGTAAAATGAGGATCCAGATTGTTGGGGGCAATATATTGACTCTGTAAACCACTTAGGACTGTAAAGCACTGTGAAGTGGTATAGAAATCTAAGTGATATTACTATTGCTATTTAAGATCTATATTAAAAATTATAGAAAGCCTTCACTTTAGTCTTGACTTTAGACGACAACATGGACAAGTCCCTGCAGTTTTTCCTGGCAGAATTTTCCAAAGTAGCTTCCATTGCTGCCTTTTTGCGAGGGCTGAGAAAAAGGCCTTGGTGCAGTCCCCAAGCTCACTTCCATGCATAGTCAGAGGCACAGTTTCCTCTACTTCTATCCAACACCTTTAACCACTCTACCAAATGTGCTGTCTACTTGCAGATCTGAACTACTTATTTTTGACATCCATTTAAACATGTGTTAGACAGAAGCTGATACACTATATATCACTTTTAATATTTATATTTAAAGATTAATGACATTATCAGCCAAATAAATAAGTATCAGTATTATTTTTGCCTTAAGGTTTTGCATAATATTAAAAAGGATGTAACATTTGCAAGACCTGCTTATTTACATAGCTTTTAAGAAAGTTGGAAGCAGCGCTGGATGCCACCTGCACTGAAATAATTTTTTCATCCTTTTCCCCATTTCCATTCCACCTAAAATTTTCCCTCTAAGGATTAAAACATCCTTGAAATATCTGGCATAGGAGAGAGGAAAAAAATTAGGGAACAATTGAGTGAAGAATGCTTGTAGATCTTCTGTTTACTCAGATTGCCATCATTAGCTTTTTTTCTTTCCAGTTGTGATGTTTATTCAGTTCAGTTCAAAGTTTATTTTGGTCAAAAACCAGTATAGACCAAGACAGTTAAAAAAGTGTTTAAAAGTGAAAGAGGAAGGGCACATATAAATGACACACTAAAAGGATAGTACTGAATATTGTTTATCACTATTGTTGCCAGTATAAACTTTGTAAAACTAAGAAATAGAATGTTATTTATTTAAAATTATCTTAGTTTATCTAAAACTGACTCCTAAAGCTAAACTTCTAATACAAAATAGGTTTTACACACAGAGAGAGGAGGGGAGATTTATATTCAGGATTGTTCAAAGATTAGCCCTAGTTATACCATATTAAGGAATGGGGATTACTCTGCTTAGTTCGCAAAATAAGAGCTAAGCAGGGAGGCAGTCCCTTTGACATGTATGATGCTTATTTACATAAACAGCTTTTTAGAAAGCTGTTCTTCTGCTATATGTACTTGTTTTGAATATATTCTAAAAAAGTGCTACTTGTACTATGTTTCCTTCCTTAGTGGAGAATGAGAACCACTGTGATTTCGTGAAACTTCGGGAAATGTTGATTTGTACAAACATGGAAGATCTCAGGGAACAGACTCATATGCGTCACTATGAATTGTATCGACGATGCAAACTGGAAGAAATGGGTTTCCGAGACACTGGTCCAGAAAACAAACCTGTTAGGTAAGTACATTAAAAAATAATTCCATATTTCAGTGATATAAGAATGTATTCACTCTCTTTATTCTTAACAACTCCTTATTTGTAACAGCAGGGGAGGACAGGGACTTTTCAAATTGTTAAATTGCCAATAGAAAGGAAGCATTTAAAATAATTGTGTAACTGAAATCTGAAACTCTTTGCCGAACAAAAATTCGAGATATCTGGCAGCACCGTTTGCAACAGAGCAAATATTAGGAAGCATTTGTTTGGGAGGAGTACTTGTTGGTCCCTTGATGGATTTAAACAAGCAAAGCTACAATCATTCTGAAGGGTAACCCCATTTGGACTGTAAGAATAGTTAGTGCTGTGACTCACTTGGAACTGAGTATTGTTGCTTAATGTGGTTCTATGAGAGTACTGGCTTCCTCTAAACCGGAGGCGATACTTTAGGATCAGTGATATCTTCTAGTCAAAAATGGCTTGTGAAAATGGGTCAATCGTATTCTTCTTTTAGGGAGGACATAACTAAAACATTTCATAATTTTGAGGGGATATTCATTTTTGTGATACGTCATGTATGCATTCTTCCTTTTTGCATATATTTTTTAAGGATTTTGATTACACTAGTGAAAACAAATATAAGCTAAAAGAAAGAAAAAAAGAATATCAAGAAAGAATAAAAAGTGCAACAAAAAAGAAAAAGAGAGAAAGGAATATGATAAAGATTCTGGGATCCCATGACCATAATAACTCTGACCGGTCAAAACAGGACCAGTCATTGAAAAAGGACAACCTACATTCTCTGTTTTTTTGTACTAATACCTAAAACAGAAGCTATTCTGCTGATAGCCTTCAGAATCTGAACAAGTTGAAGCAGTCACTGAATAAACTGGAAATCTTTGGTATTAATTTTAACTGTCTGGAATTGTCCCATTACTGGTGCCTATGGGTATCTCTGATAAATCAAGATAGACCTTTTCAAGATATTGTAGTGCTAAAATAAAATCTCAATTATTGTTGGGCAACCCAGCAGAAAGTAATTTCTTAATTAGATATTTCATGGATTATTATTGAACTATCAGACCGATAAAATTACCAACACTTTGCTGAGGGTCAGAATCCAGCCGCTAAACTCCAAATACCTGCTCATTGCCTCTGCCATTGGTTTTCTTGTTGCTGCTCACTTCACAATGATCGTGGCAACCAGTTTCCTCCAATGGTCCTGTTGTGGTTAGCCGGCAGCAGGTGCGGACGGCTGAGGAGAGCGAGGACTCAGATGAAGGGCCAGGACCATTAGGGAGTAGACTGCTGCCTTCAGAGATTGTGGGGGCTGGCAGCAGCGATGAGGTTCCCGAGGAGCCTGTGCCAAGTGCGCGTGTGCGCAGGGCTGCTTGTAGGAAAGAGCAGCTGCAGCAGCACAGGCGACTCGGGAATAAGGCTGCAAGGTAATGGCCCCTCCTTCAAGAAGATAAAAGCCAGCTGTGAATCAGACGTTCTTTGTAGGAAGCAAAAACGTTTTGAAACTCCAGCCTCGTGGACATCGCAGTATCTTAAGTTGATATTTGAAGGCTCTTGTGTTGTAAAATATTTCTTATCTGTTATTCTTGGCAGCCTCATATAGTTTTGGCGAGGCTAGTGCTTATCAAACTTAATTAGTTTGCAGCAGCCTTTTAACCGGGGATTCGTAAGAATCATTAAAAGGTTTCTGTTCCCTTTTGGTTCGTGTTTGTTTTATTGGAAAAGGGTTTGGGTCAGAACAGGTCCCTGGTAAGGCATGCTGATAGAGCAGTTCACCCCTAGCCATCATTTCCAGGCTTGAGGCTCTCTTTGCAGTAACTCACAGTGGTAGTAGGACATTTATTTATCATGTGCTATAATTAAGTGCAGCTAGTCCTTGACTTACAACAATTCATTGACTTTCAACAGTACCATTTACCATTCAAAGTTACAACAGTACTGAAAAGAATGATTCATGACCATTTTTTTACACTTAAGACCATTGCAGCATCCTCATGGTCATGTGATCAAAATTCAGCTGCTTGGCAACTGACTCATATTTCTGATGGTTGCAGGGTCCCAGGGTCACATGAACCCCTTTTTGTGACTTTCTGATGAGCAAAGTCAATGGGGAAGAGTCACTTAACAACTGTGTTACTACTTAAACAACTGCAGTGATTCCTTTAACAACTGTGGCAAGTAAGGTCATAACATGGAACCAAATTCACTTAACAACTGTCTTGCTTAGCAATACAAATTTTGGGCTCAATTGGGGTTGTAGGTCAAGGACTGCCTGTACAGGTAGAAGATAAAGACAGCAATTACTGTAGCACTCTATTATCCTACAAATAATTGGGGAAACTAGTAGCAAACTCTATCAGGAAGTCCATGCCTTTTTTTTACTTTGCGCTGTTGGTTGTCTTCACCATTAGCGATCATCCATTTTAGCTACTCAATCATCACCGATTTACCATTATTTTAATTTTTCTAATTTCTTCAAGCTATGTTCAGTTCCAATTTATGCATTCATTTCCCCTTTCCAACTCACTTAACAAGCAACTATTCCCTAAAATAAAAATTAACACGAACCTTATATGGATATTCATTGCATGTTTGTTGATTTAGAGAAGGTGTATGATCAACTATGCAACGTTTGCATAAACAGGCAATTAAAGTTTGTTGAATATGATAAGAATAACATATGACAGGAGTAAGAATAAATGTGTGAGAATAAATGGAATTCTTACTCAGATAGTTCAGCATTGAGCAGGGCGTAAGAAATTGATATATGACTTCCCTTTGGTTGTTTAATGCTTTTATGGATCAATGTAAGTGACAATAGAGGTGCTGAATGTGAATGTATATGCACTTTTGTATGCAGATAATGCTGCGTTTGTTGCCTGAGAATATGAATTATTTGCAAGGAAACATAGAAAGATGATATGACACAGTGAGGAAGGGTGGTCTGAAAATTAATTCTTCAAAACACTAAAGTAGTTGTGTTTGACAGGGGAAATGGAGTGAGTGATTGCAAATTATACTTGAATAGTGAGCAAATAGACATATTAGTTGGTAGAATGTTTTCTAAAAATGAGAAGAAGGATAGAGTAATTCTTAGCTGTGCAGATGCTATTAGGCACTATGGGGATCTTTGCTAAGTATAAATTAATTTAAATAAATTTAAGCACAAGTTAGGTACAGTAACATTTCCTTGACCTTTATCTCTTTCCTGTTGTTATTATTTGTTGCTTAGTGTTTCCTACCCTTTCTAGGCTTATGTGTGAAAAAAAGGGGAATGGTGTGATGGGCTTGTATGTCATATATAGAACAGAAGTTCTGTAAAGGTGTTGGCAAAAACAATCAAAATCAGCCCTACAGACTGCATTTCTGTAATGTGTAATAACCACACATATTTAATGCATGAAAGTTGCATGACGCCTTCAGTTTCCATGGAAGGACAAATATAGGTATTACTTTACAAGTTCCATTAATACCACAGGTGTACTCAAAAGTAGCTTACACTCCCCCCCTACCCCAAATAGCTCTCAAAGTAAAGAGGGATTACTTGCTGAAGCATTTCTAGTTAGGGAAGGCTTTGTGAATTTTTTTACAGCCTCTTAATAACTGACTGGCAGGGAGACAGTTTAGAATCCAGCAGTTAGCAGCATTCTGAGTTGCTGCCCTTAGGGGTGCATTTGGATAGTTTTTCCTGGTTTTTTTTTCTCTCTCTGTCTCCCCAGCCCATGTAAAAAAAAAATTTTTTTTTGCATCTTCTTTCACTATACCAAATTAGTTCAGGTTCTCTTCACTGGTAAAAGAATTACCTTGCTGATGGGAAGTAGAGGTCCAAGCCCCTTTATAGAATTTCTTTCCAAGGAACACCTGTAGTGCTATAGCTGTGAAGCTTCTTTTGCATTCGCTTTGCAAAATACGTTAACTATATGTTAAGTGTCAGTGTGATGAGCACTATGCAATATATTGGCTACACATTGGGGGTTGAATTTGCCAACAATTTCTTAGTTTGATTTCAGTGTAAGGTAGTGTCCAGCCTGAAATGTACATATCCAACTTCAGTACTTAATGGAGAGTAAGTGCTTACTCAGAGGGCAATTTGTGGACAAAATAAGGCATTCGTTCCTGCTGATAAAGGAGCAAAATGTTATCTAAGGTTCCAGATTTGAAACTCAAGTTCTTATGGCAAGAGTTTTACCCTCCCTCTTCCTGACACGAAAAGATTCTGAATGTTTCCTATAGCAGTCCTCTTTAGTTCAGCCCTCTCCAATTTTATTTAGAAGACCCTACAATCTCTACAAACACATGTACCGGGTTTTTTTTTCCTCCCAGGATAATAAATAATCCATGAAATATTTCAAAGTGCCACAAAGCTCTTTGATTTTGCCTAGCAGGTTAAAATAGCTACAACTATACTGGTTGGGTCTTTATTAATACATTTTGTTGTTTAGTGTTAAACAGAAACTTAAATATTATAAAAGGGAGTTATATTTTTGTAGGCAAAATGAATTCATTTAACTTTTGGAAAAATGCTACCGCTTTTATGGCACCAAATGCTCAATATTCTTTTGTAAAAATATGGTAAATTAGATTACAGCCTCACACCCACTCCCTTGAAACAAATTTCTTTAAACTCAATAGGGTTTACTTTTGAATAAGCTTGTATAGAGTTTGAAGAGGTTATTCGGACAGTAACATGCCTTGATGAACCTGTATACCTTTGTTTTTAGGGTGCCAGATAGCAGGAAGACCAGTTATAGAGAAAGGTATATTGTTTTGTAGTATAGAATGATTAAAACATAGTTTTAGATACATTGCTGTTTAATACACTGATGTTTTAAATATATTTCTGTTCTTTCTAATTTTATAGAAAGTGATAGCATGATTTTACACAAACTGATAATGCCTTAATAGCAATATTGATTCTAAGCCTTTGATTCGAATGAATTAACTTATATCCAATAAACTCAGAACCCTTTAAATATAACACAGAAACCGTAATGTAATAATAGACCAACATGTTCCCAGTTCAAAAGACTCAGTAATAACTGAGGAGAAACAAATAGCTTTCTTCTGTCCAAGAATCGAGAAAGCTACTTGTTTTTGGAGCACCAAGACCTATATTAGATGGACAAATAGAGTGAGTTAATACAAGAAAATTTCCTGTGTTCTTAAATACCCATTTTTTTCTATCTTCTTGATATTCAGTAAAGATTTCCAAGATGCTTGCTGCCATAAGATTTAAACTCCTGTACTACAATTCTGACCATTAACTGAAATAAAGCATGGATGGTGAGAATGAAACACTAGCAATGGAGAAGTGGAGTTAGATTATTCTAACTCTGAAAAAGAATTGTTTTAACATAGAGTTTAGGAAGGTTATACCTATGTTCTACTGTCCCACAATCGATGTGATCATTTATTTATTGGATATAATTGAAAAGAAGCTATCCACCCTGGTTATACGGATGCATATTCTCACACTACAACTAACAAGACTTTTTTTCAGCAGTGGTATTACTTTGGTTTTATTTGCCTGCATTTTTAGTCACATTTGCTACTTTTAACTCAGCAAACTTTCTCTAGAAGTTTAAACAGGCTCCCCCCCCCCCCCCCCCCAAAAAAAAAAATTAAACATGCCAGAGCATAACATTAATCCAGCCACTCTGTAACCTCTAACCAAGCTCCCTATGAAGAAGGTCAAATTGTTTTTGACATTCTTTCATGAAGGCCAGAAAAAAATGAGTGAAGGTCTACTATCAGCTTGGCTAATTTATATAACCTTTCATGCAAGATGTATGGATAATGAAAAAGTGAGATACGATTCTATAACCCAGCATACAAGGAGGGAAGGGAAAAAAGTTGTCAGATATAGTCACTAGGCTTTCAGTAAAGAATGTTGCCCAGTGAAGTAAAAAAAAAATGAAGTAAACTCTGCTCATATCTCAACTGAATTAGTCATGCTGTAAATGAAACCGATGAAATTTAATGATCAAAACAGCACCGTAGCTCTTTAATAGATCCCAAGAACAGAAAGTTAGCAAAAACTCCGGATGCTGCTGTTATACATTAGAGAAAATTCTAATTTTTTAAACATATAAATATCTAAAGATCATCTAATACAGGGTATCAAACTTGCGGTCTGCGGGCCAGATGTGTCACAGCCTGGTCAACCCCATCCCCCATTTTAGCGAAGGGAAAAAAGTTGTGATATGTTACATGTGACGACAGCATGTCATCACGAGTTTGACACCCCTGATCTAATAGGTGACTACTTCAGCTGACTAATCTCATTTATTTAGTAAAATTATGGCATATAATAGTGAGATGGGAACCACTTTTCAAACAGTTTATTTTTGCTTGCCTACTTTGCAACAGAATCTTTACTGAGACATGACTTGGTGCAAAGAGCATCTAAGAGGCCATAATAATGGCAATGTATCAGAAAGGAAGCATGTTTTTAACAGTCATTCAGGAAATTTAGACGTTTTTAAAATTAAGAAGAGATTCTTAATAAGCAAATAAAGAAGAGAAGAATAAGCCAGACAATAAGAAGAAATGGATACACAAAGAAATCTTTTTAGAGTTTTTACATGAAACTATAATTTTAGTAAATACATTAGTCAGCTAATGTAGTTAGATATGTTGGATGATCTTTAGATGTTTATATTTTAAATAGAATTTCCTGTAATGTACACCATATACTACTACATATTACTGCATCAAGTAAACTTTGTTGCTAAAAGTAATCTTTTAAACCTCTTTTGGAATTTCAAATCCTTTTTAAAGCTTTCGCTAAATTAACCTCACTAATTTCATTTCACTCCATAGACCATATGTCCAAGCCAAATGCATTTAGGATCAAGGCTTAATGATGCACACTAAGCACATACAAATCATGCAATTAATTCTTATTCATATTGTTGCTGCCTATCTCTTTCTAACAGATTTCTTATTGCATCCTGCTTGTACAAGACAATTTTTTATTGTGGAAATATATTCTGTCACACAGTAGTGGGATCCTACCTTATTCGCTACCGGTTCGGCGGGGGATCATGTGTGCGTGTGTGCGCGCACCCCTAACAAGCCAATCAGCTGAGAGAATGAAGAAACGAAAAGCTAGGAGCGACCCTCCCCCCCATGCACTTTTCGGATTTTTTTCCCTCTTATCGGAGGCTTGTTTTCCTCTTCTCAGTTCATCAGAAGCTTTTTTCCTACTCTCAGATGATCAGAGGCTTTCCTGTAGCATACCACCACTGCTGTCACATGTATTTCACATACAACAAATATAGTGTCGCATTTGTATGTGGATATATCTGTACCCTAAGGGATGTGGTGGCTCAGTGGCTAAGATGCTGAGCTGGTCGATCAGAAGGTTGGCAGTTCAGCGGTTCGAATCCCTAGCGCTGCGTAACAGAGTGAGCTCCCGTTACTTGTCCCAGTTTCTGCCAACCTAGCAGTTCGAAAGCACGTAAAAAATGCAAGTAGAAAAATAGGGACCACTTGGGTGGGAAGGTAATAGCACTCCGTGAACCTTTGGCATTTAGTCATGCAGGCCACATGATCATGGAGACATCTTTGGACAGCGCTGGCTCTTTGGTTTAGAAATGGAGATGACACCGCCCCCTAGAGCCAGAAACAACTAGCACTCATGCGCAGGGGAACCTTTACCTTATATCTCTACCCTATTATTTTCTATTTCAAAATGCAACTGAGGCAATAGATTATTGAATATGTAACTAAAATATGCCTTGTTAATATTAATGATCAAATATGTATAGGGTAATTTCTTTTTTGAGTCATCCTGTTTCTTGGCTATTATACTAAAAGAATTTGCCCTTGCTTTCCTCCAGGATTTTAAAAAAATATTCACTAGTCTAGGATATAGCTGTGATATTTTGTGGTGGTGGTGTCCTATCCATGTAGTAAACAGGTTCGACACTGCTTAATTTGTTGAGAACAACCAAAGTCAGTTAGATGTTCCCTGTTGAGCCTTATGTCATATATGTATGCCTACTGCTAATCAAAAATATCATTTGACCCGTAGAACCAGATAATTAGATTCTGTGTTACAATTTTATTCTTGTAACAATATTTTTACAAGAGAATATATATGATAAAAACAGTACCTTGAATTGTTCCTGGGAAGTAAGTGAAATAGTTTTGCAGCTGAAGATGAATATTCCCAATGATTATCTCATTATATTTGCAGAATTCATGTAGTCTACTTCTCCCTGATAGTCTTTGTTCCTGCCTCTAACGATCACCTTCAGACACTCAGGAAGAAAAGCCAATATATAATCAATCAAAATAAGCATGTTTTATGCAAAAATGAAACTAAATTATCCACAATTATGCATTTTAATTTTTTATTTTGGAAAAGTGGAATGTCCTTCCTGTAAGCAATTCTGTGTTTGTTTCCAATCTGTCTGATTGCTAAAATCTCTGTTCTTTAGTTGCTTTTGTTACTGATGCTTTTCCTCTGAAAGGCCAATATAGAATCAAAATATGAAGGAAAAAAGTTACATTTCAAAGTTATGTTTCTAAATTCTAAGGAAATTCTGAATTTTAGATAGAATTTGAAATTTGGAAAATGCTATGGATTCCTACAACTAGAATATTCTGAGCATGGAGCCTTATTTTTAATGTAAAATAAGTATCAGCCCAAGGCATTTATTCCACATTTTTGGGATCTCCAAGAGAGCATTTACTTTCTGCAAGAAGGAATCTTTTCAGAGGTACTCTGGTATTTTTTGTTGAACACAATTCTGAAAACTTTAAACATTGTTGCCTGTCACTAAATGAGGAATGCTATTTACATTTTATGGCTCTCAGTCTACAGGAGACATATGAAGCTAAAAGACATGAATTTATTGGAGAATTAGAACAGAAACAAGAAGAAATGAGACAAATGTTTGTGCAAAGAGTCAAAGAGAAAGAAGCACTGCTAAAAGAAGCAGAGCGAGAAGTAAGTATATTTTTACTCTACTCAGGTGAGCTTGGAACAGATTTAATCAGGTTCTCAAATTTTGGGGTAACTTGTCCTAAAACAATGATTTCTAAATGAAACTATCAGATCATGTTTTGGCAGTGATGCCACTGTATCTGGACAACTTGGATGCTGATTTGTACTTACAGAATGGGGACATGACCTGGCCGAGATCCAACTGTGCACATGGGAGCTAGACATGCACACCCACAGCTGGATCACTATCGGAATTCTTCCCTGCTGAGATTGTTCTAGAACAGGGGCTGTGCTTAATCTCATCTTCTCCTTATCCAATGGCAAGCCTTCCTCTTGGGGGTGGGCAGGACCTCTAGACATCTTGACTGGTACTGTAGGAGTTGTTGCTGTGACTACAAAAGCTGTTAAATAAAGAGCTTCAGGAAACTCAAACCCACTTGGACAAGCAGCTCAAAGAAGGCGACCCTTTCCTAAGCAAATAGCAGATCTGTTCACGACATTCTCTCCTCTTCCACCCCATCCCAAGAATTCCTTAAGTAGATAGATAACAATTTCATTTGCCTACAAAAAAAATGGATCATTCCAGTTCAGCAAGAGATACTAGATGTGATTCACTGAAGTCCCATTTGGTGAATTACACATGGCGATTGACCACTGAGCTTTCATAGGCAATGGGAAAAAATCTACTTAAATGTTTCTGAGTCTAGATTAATAAATTCCTACCTCAAATTGTAGCGATCAGATTCAGTGGCAGCATTCTGTACTGTTTGACTAGGAATCTCAGTGGTTAGGGACATCAGCCTTACTAATCTTTGTTAACCCCTTGGTCTCTCAATGCCATATATTTTAAAGTTTCTGATCCTTCTAGAGATTACTGTTCCTTTTAATGAATTAAGAGGAAGTATATTTAGCCCATTTATAATTCTAAACAATATTACTATCCAGACGGTTTAAATGAAACAAAGGTCTTAAAATTTTGGCTTCACAATTCTTGACTTGGGATAAGAAAAATATATATATATATATGGATAAATGTGTGCCAAATAGAATAGTTGTCCCAGCCTTAATCATTCCCCGTCTCCCTGGATAATACTAACTGGTAGACGTTTCTCTTGTCTCTCTCTCTTCTTACCCTCATAAATTTCCTCTCCAGGATCTAATAAAGGGTTTTACCCTGTTTGGTTAAAAAAAAAACCAATCAATTTTGTCACAGTTCTGTAGTTCTTGCAGGGCAAGGAACATGTTCAGTTAACATTAGTTGGAGACTGGAGGCATCTAAGAAATGTGCAATGATTGCTGCACATGGAATTACTTTTCTGAATATGTAGAACACATTATTTTATCTCTCTGTGACCTGGTTTTCTTGCTGCTTGGCAAAGGAGAACAAAATGCAATGCTACTATATATTTGATAGAAATTCCTCTTCAGTTTTTTACACATTAAAAAGAGACATTTGATGTCCCCAAAAGTTGATCTAGTAGTGCAGGGGTGTCCAACCTTGGCAACTTTAAGAGTTGTGGACTTCAACTCCCAGAGTTGAAGTCCACAAGTCTGGGAGTTGAAGTCCACAACTCTTAAAGTTGCCAAGGTTGGACAC